AAGAAGTGTATTTTTAGTATTAAAAATTGTGAATTCTTGAATTCCTTTCTTAAGATAGTTGAAAATATAGTTTTAAGCAAAGTTTTATGTCAAACAAAAGTAATAATTTTTGAATTTACGATTTTAGGGAAATGCGGGTATCTAAAAATGTTAGAAGTTTTTGTATCTGAAAAGAGCATTAAACTATTCAATATTTGATATCGTAGTTTTAAAGAAATTCACTTGATTTTTACAGTAAAACTTAAAAACTTTTCTATAGTTATTTCTTCAGTAATTGCTTATTATACATTAATATTAAATTGAATTATACTTTAAAACTTTGTTCGTGTTTAATATTTAAATTAAATTAGCTAATTTTTACAGAAACATATTTATCACTTCTCACTACATATAAAATAAAAAGGAATTCATTTTACTGCTTGACTGAGCGGAAGAGGTTTTAACTTCTTTGATAAAGATATTCTTTCAATCCATGTAGTAAGAAATTCCACTCGAAAAGTACAAATAAGGATGAAAAGAATTGTAAAAAGATACCGAATTTCTCTCTAAAGTCAAAAAAGCAAAAAATTCGACTTGCGTACTTAGTCAATACACTATCTCCTGTTCATCCTCTCTACCCATAAACATAAAACAAAACGAAATACATTGAATTCTTTACTGAATTCAACATACGTGTACTAACAGAGTTGACCATTTTCTTTCTTTTCTTTTCTTTTCTTTTAAAATATTTTCATAAATTAAGGTAATTTATAAAATTCATTGCTGTGTATACGATAGGATTCTGTAAAGTTATATTTATCTTGCTCGTTTCATAAAATTTTCCAAACAAATCATTAATTGAAAAAAATAATTAATAAATATCATTTTACATATCTAATTATGGTTTACTAACAAACTGTAAATGTATTTTTCATTTTATATCTAAATCTTGCAATTAAAAATATTTAACAAATTAATACTGTGAATTAAAGATGTAATTTTCTCTTTCGAAATTAAAATTTTATATGATAAATGTGCATTAAAGTTTTATTTTAATAATGCACATTACATTTTAATTTGACATAATTTTTCTAAAAATAAAGTAACAAAGATTAAGACAGAGTAAGATATCTTTCTGACATTTTCATAATTAGTACATTTAATTTGTAAGATTATATCAATATTTAGGAACATCATTATCTATTTATTTAAAATTAACCAAGCATTTGGAAACTTATTTAGAATTTATACATTAATGAATAAATACGTATATAAATTGGGTTATTTTATAAAATGATTTTTCTATTAAATTATTAATGTAATTAATGTCAATCGTCCGAATTAATTAGTAAATGAATAATATACGAATAATGGAGAATACAAATTAAACGATGTTTGTGTACATTCATCGAAAATTTAAAGGAGTAACTCTACATATATATATATATATATGAGTACTTATATGAGTACTTATGCGAAACAACATTGATATGAATGCAGAGTACATGTTTATATTGAAACAATTTATTGAATATATTAAGAGAGTTAGAGATATTTTAATAATAAATACTGAGTTATATCTTCGTCTTTTTTCTGTAAACTTACAATAATCACAGCTTGTTTTTTAATTAAATTGCTTAATCTACCGATTTTCCGACAAAAGAAAAAAATACAAAAAATGTCTTTTAAAATAAAATGGGCAATATTCTTAATGTATTACATTCTGCAAACTGGATTACTCGCAATATTGAAATTCTTTTCATGGCAGTTTATTTAACTAAAGAAATATCCACGGGAATTTATCCGGTTGGAATTATTTTACAATACATTGAACAAAAGCTGAATAGAAACTTGTTAATCCTTTAAATAACCAACATTAATGAGAAAATCCTAAAAAACAAAAGAAGCATATTTTCGAAATGAACGTAAGGTCAAAGGCCTTTTAGAAGGCTTTGCAGACAACAAGAGGATTATTGAAATGAACTGTAAAACTCTTAACGTCAATGTCATGTTCGCCTATCTTTATATAGACGATCCATCAAGTTCTTTATTTCACAAACCATACTTGTGACAACACACCGTTGGAATCGTAGAGAAAATTTTAATGAATTTCGACACTCTTGGATAATTTACTGAAGATCATCAATTCTTAGAAAGGAAATCTTGAAACATGTCTAGAAATGATTATCCAAGATTTAATTCCTATAATATTGCAGATAATTACTATATCACTTCGCATTTCTTAGCGTGCTAGCTTGAATATTTTTCTAAAATATCGAAGGCAGATGTCCAATTCCTCATCAATTATTAAAAGAATGTGTTCTAATGTAAACAGTTCTCTCGCTTCGAGCAAAATGAATATCATTTGTTATAGTACTTGTGTAATTTATTATTCGATCAAGTTTTGAAAATAAAATGCTACTTTTCCATTATAGATTTTTTTAAAACCGTTCATTAGAATAATTATTGCCAGTTTTAATTTGCGACTGAATAAATAATTGTTTTCATATTCGTTAATTAAGTTTTTATGGGAATCTTCAATTCCTTCTCTATGAATGTATGCTTTTAATTAAAGAGTTTCGTTATAAAAATCAATTAAAATATCTTTTGTAAGTTCGTAGTAAATTCCAAATCTTCGTTTTTTCGCAATTTTATAAAATTAGTTATTTATGTTATAAAGTTTTCAATTAAGCTTTAATTAAATAAAATAAACAAGGGTAGACGTGTATGTATCCTTGTTGAAGATAAATATCGATTTTGATTTGAGCTTTACTAATTTATCTTACCTTTAAGAAAAATTGCATTCGTTTAGAGTTTAATTTTAAAACTTATTAGTTAATGGCGTAATTTATTATTCTAACATAATTAGAGAAATGAACCAGAAAATCCACCAGTTTAAATTATAAAATGAATAATTGTTAAATTATTATATAGGAATATATCTTTCGACTTTGTACTGTTGAGTGTTAAAACCTTCTTTAATTATTCGCATTTTAATACACTATTATAATGTAAATTTTTTTTAATTCTTAAGTATTGTGTACAATATAAGATAAAAAATTGTTTTCTTGCAGCGACTTAATGCTAATGTCATTTTGTTTAAAATTATGGATAAAGCTCTAGTTATCAAGTTAAAAAAAATTTTTAAAGTTGTTACATAGAAGAAAATTGCTATTTGTGTTACTTTTTTCCTTCTCATAATCTTCAATTAATGGAAAAACTGGATTACAAAAGAAATAAGCTACGATCTATCATTCTCTCTTCATCTGTTCTCGTCAAAAGAAAATGGACTCTTGTCATAATGTCCAACGTATGACGGATTAGTGATTTTTCGTGTTTTATGTTTTTAGATCCGACTGGTTCGATCCCTCCCCGCATAACCAATGGAAGGCTTACTGTAGAAACATTTGAAGAAAGAGCAGTGGAACTCCCTTGTGCTGCACAAGGTTATCCTGTGCCCATTTATAGATGGTACAGGAACGAAGATAGTCAGCTTATACCGGTTCATTTAGGGGAAAGAATGTTTCAAATAGATGGAACGCTATTCATTTCAAGAACTATACAGCAAGATAGTGGAAAATACGTATGCGTTGTATCAAATAATGTCGGTGAAGAAAGAACAGAAACAGTTCTTTCTGTTAAAGGTAAAAAGAATCGGTTACATATGTCGATATTTTATTTTTAAAGTAATGATTAATTTTATATCTTTCAAACTTTAAACAATTTACATATATCATATGTAATAAAAATTTAAACTAACTCAAAATTTTATTTTGGTGTAAAGAAAAATGACTTTTATAATTTATAAGGTTATAAAACTTTAATAAACAAATCGCTCTTACATATTAAATAAATGAAATTTTTAGGAAACATCACGAAATTAAATAATTTACCTTATAATTTTTTTTCTGAAGTTTAAGTAAAGACAGTTTCTAGAATATTAATCTATCTTCGCTCCCTAAGCAATAAATAATAGACACCTTGTCATTTTACAAGATAAATAAGCCGAACTAAATAAAATATTTAGCATATGCCTATGATAAATGTCAAAAGGTATGAAAAATTATCGGTACGTTTAAAATACATCCGTATTTTTACCGAGCTAATGTTTCAGAAACGTCAATAAAATCTCGGAGAAACAAATTACGTAGATACATTATGATGTTAAGTACTCAACATTTACAGGCAACTTGTCAGTCTGGTTACATCCTGATCCTTTAACGGTCGAAGCCGGAAGATCAGTGACTTTCAACTGCTCGATAACCGGTTATCCAATCAATTCTGTGATCTGGTTAAAAGATCAAAGACATCTGTTACCCAACACTAGAATTCGTCTAATATCTAATCGTTTGTTGCACATCACTTCTGTTCAGAGATCAGACCAAGGAATGTATCAATGTTTTGTATATAACGAATGGCAGTCAGCACAAGGAACGGCGCAACTAACCTTATCAGGTATTGTGATGTATATTTTACTCTATTGATTTTTATATGTCTTAATATATTTTACGAATTTTTGAATAAAAGAGATATTTCCGCAAAGAGAAAAAGCAGTTCTGATGAAATCTATATATAAATTTCTACGCATATAAAAAACATTGTAAACATTTCCGGTTTAATTAAATAACAGGAAATTTGATATATAAAAATAGAACGTAATTCATATCCATAAATTAAATATGAATTTTAATATTCTTTAACGATATATTTTTTAGATAAAAAAAAATATCTGTAAAAACACGCATTTCTGAGATTAATTCCATAAAATTATCTCAATTCGATAGTAATAGGGTATTAATAGAAAATTTCTTTTAGTGGTGTTTAAATAAAGCATCAAATTCTCTATTATATCTCGCAATAAAATATTTATTGCGTTCAAAAATATATTTTATTAACTATAAAGAATCTTTTTCAATCTACGCTTGGTTTATTTTTTCGAAGATTTAGCCAAGTCACGTCTTTTAGTGTTAGCTTGTCACTTGACATAATGTTGAGGTTAGTGTATGTTTTTTGACGTCATTCAGTTAATGTTTGTAACTTTTCATGGTTCATAATGGCCAAGATTCTAACATAAAGCTTCTTGTCACGTCTTATTTTTACAGGCGATTTTTTCCCAATCGTTCGCTTCTCCCTATTCTGCCAATATTAATGATGCATTCTAAAGGGGGGTAGAAAAATTATATCAAAATTATTTCTCCATTATTATTGATAATAATATTTTACATCACTTTTTTAAAAGAAATCATTTGTTATACTTTTTTCTAAGAGATATATGCGTAAGAACTTATAGCGTTAATTGTATTACACATTTGAAAGATAAATTGAATTTTTACTTACAGAAGATGCTCCACACTTTTCTTTCACTTTTTCTAAGAAGATATTAGCTCCAGGTAGAAGATTGGCTCTTAGATGTACAGCAATTGGAAATCCATTACCAAGAGTAACATGGACACTAGATAACAAAGCAATTCCAGAAAATCACCGTGTGCAATATGGAGACTTTGTTAGTGTATCGAGCGAAGTTGTCAGTTTTGTCAACATTAGCAGCGTTATGAGGGAAGACGGTGGCGTATATCAATGTAAAGCTCAAAATGATGCTGGTTATGTTGTTCACGCTGAAAGAATAGATATCATCGGACCACCTTATATTAGACCAATGGGAAACATTACTGTAGTAGCTAAAGAGACTCTGTTGTATAGATGCCCTGTATCGGGCTATCCAACACCATCTGTGATCTGGAAGAAAGGCAAGTTTCGTTTTATAATCTATAAACTTGTTATGTTTAATAACAAAGTAATTTTCGCAGTTTTAATTAATTTAATATTTAAAAAAAATCTCTCATAAAAGCGCGATTTACTAAATATAACCGAGATTAATGAATGAGCGTTTTAGTAAGAAATTTTTAGG